CTGCTCGCCCGCTCCTCGTTTCCCCTCGACCCCCCCTGCTGCTGCCTTACGCAGTGACTTCTCCGCCGCCGTTCTATTTCGCGAGCATTAATTAATAATTTCATCGGACGAGATTATAAACGCAGCATTTATTCGATTCGATGGGAAAAGCAACCCCGGCTCAGCCCCCTGTATCTGCCGAACGAATCTCGCAGATTTACTCGGGAACATGTGAAAAACGCGACACGATAGACAGCTTCGGAATCGTCTCCGTTTTGTTTTTTGTTTTGTATCAAGGATCACGTACGAATTGTTCGCTGTAGCAATATTTTTGCACTAGCCAGCGGGACGAGAGACATTTTATTGGCCAACGTTAATTCGCGCGCGCGTGTGTAACATTTATACGATTCACGGGTGCTCAACGACTCGTTCATAACGCGAACAGTTAACTGGCTGTTAAACGATTATAGATCTTGCGGAAGCCTCTCCTCAGCCGTGCACAAGGATTCACGTTAATGAAATTCCGCGTTACGAGAGGAAAATCGCTGCTTCCGCCTTCGTGCCGTCATCGGTGGCATCTAGTCGCACCTACGTGCAATATTTCTCTGCCTATAAAAAAAAATTATTTACCTCGACGATGTTTAATTACAGCGGAACCTTTGTACCGTGGAACCTGCTCTTCCGAATAGTTCTCCTCTGTGTTCCGTGGACTTGGAATTTCGCGAGCTGTTCATTTTCTTTTATTCTTCTTCTTCGATCGGTAATTGACGTTTGCCGAATTATTCTGGGATCGGTGCAACATCGCGAATTGATCGCGCGGTTGTAAGGGAAAAGAAGATACCCGGTCCCGAGTTCCGGCGACTACTATTTCCGGTTTGCGAACCGGTTAGTCCCACTACTTACTGGTGGAATTTGTAATTGTTTATTTGCTAATAATACAATACGAATATAATACAGTGATTGAAAAACAGCTAGCGGATATGAAATGTATAATACGTGTATGCGTGACGCAAAATGTACTTTATGCGAAGAAGAGTAAAGAAAGCGCGTTTAAAGAAAGCGCGGTTGCGCTGCTTGGGATTCTTCGACAATGTTTTTTCAATACCCCCGCTGGGACTCAAACGGTTAAATTATCCAACGTCGATGTTCTTCGAAGAATCTAGCAGCGATCCCGATCATGTTGGAATTTGTAATTGTTTATTTGCTAATAGTGCAGTACAAATATGATACAGTGATTAAAAAAGCAAATATATATATATATAAAATAATATATATTATAGATAATAAATAATATATATTAAATATAATATATATATATTAAAGAAAAGCAAAGTAATATAACAAATATATATAATAAAGCGGATATAAAATGTACTTTATGCGAAGAAGAGTAACTGTATGTGAAGTCGCGGGATCCCGCTGGGACCCAAACGGTTAAATTATCCAACGTCGATGTTCTTCGAAGAATCTAGCAGCGATCCCGATCATGTTGGAATTTGTAATTGTTTATTTGCTAATAATGCAATACAAATAGGATACAGTGATTAAAAAGGCAAATATATATATAAAATAATATATATTATAGATAATAAATAATATATATTAAATATAATATATATATTAAAGAAAAGCAAAGTAATATAGCAAATATATATAATAAAGCGGATATAAAATGTACTTTATGCGAAGAAGAGTAACTGTATGCGAAGTCGCGGAGATACTGTCCGAATGATCGTCTTCTAGGCTGATGAACGCCTCTGTAGTTCTCTGAGAAGTGTCTTGAACTGGAACGTGCAGTCCTTTTATACTAAGTTCTTTAGACGCAATTAGGCTGCCCTCTCCACTATTCCTTTAGGTAAATTCCAGGTAAAAAAGAGTCCTAATGTATACGTGTTTCCCCGAGAAGCTCGGGCTTGTACCTGCATTTATTGTCCCTATGTAGACACGTGAGTGTGCGAGTGTGAGTATCGTGGTATATACCAACACTTACTCGTCTACAGCGATAATTGTAAGAAGAACTGTAGAAAAAAGTTAGCAACACGCTCGCTTCTATATTCGGTCGAACCGTCCTATTTGGTCCGCTTCGTTGTCGACGTGCAAAGTAGAAACAATTGATCTTCATTTTTCGTTTACCACTTTTGCGTGAAGAATAACGGAATAAATATCAGCGGTCCGTGAGACGGTTAATTCATTGCCGTACTTTAACACTAAACCAACCGAATGTAATGATGATGATTAGCGTGCATTGACTCGTAAGAGTGAAAAGATAGAATTCACTTGGATTCTGTAAAGTTTCAATTATGAGACTTGTTTCAATGATATAATTTATTCGATCATTTTCCACGAAGAAGTCTACAAAGTTTGTAGTATCGTAAAATAAAAAAAAATCGGTCATTTTGACCGTGGTAGGTTTAGTGTTAACGAGTCAGACTCGTGGTGGGGATTTCTAATAATTGGTACGCGAACGTTGTTCCGTTCCTTCGAGTCGAGATCAAATTCTATTCTATTGATATTTAAAACGTTCGAGTAGACGCGAACACGCTATAAATGTAAAGTTTAGAGCAGGGGTGTGAAACTCGCGGCCCGAGATGAACATTTTTGCGGCCCAGTCGATATATCCGACGCAAAGTAAAAATAAAATAGAAATGCGAATTAGAAATTTTGAAAGTAGTCTCGGCCAATCAAATTTCTCCTGAAATCGGAAAGATAGTATCAGAGAAGAGATGTCAAGTATCAGGACGTAAACAATAATTAACTTTATATACGTTTATTACAATGTACTGGTCAAAATAAAAATATTTGTTTCTATGAACATTGATTTTTTTTTTGCGGCCCACCTAAAGTTAAGCATTGTTTATTTGGCCCGAGTTAGCTTTTGAGTTTGACACCCCTGGTTTAGAGAATTCGAGAGATTATAACGATGCCCGCGGAGGCATTTTTTGGGTACATCCGTTTGTTCGGATCCGGCTTGTAATAAAAATCGTGCCGCGTCTTGGGGAATGCGGCCCAGCTACTTTTAAAAGTCGATATACGAACTACAGTAATGTCTCTCTAACTGACGCTCGGATCGCCCACAAAAATGGACAATTTGGGAAGAGGAGACACGATTATTCGAGCCTTGTAGCTCGTTTTTTCATAGTTACGAATTATCAAAGTGATGTCAAGGTAGTAATGCGAGGCTCGACGAATCGTATCTCCTCTTCCCAAATAGTCCATTCTTGCGCGCAATCTGGGCGTCAATTAGAGAGACATTATCGTTGTTTCGACTCAACAGTTTCGATGTTAAACGATTGATTCGGTCATCGGGCCTGTTACGACATTGTTTCGGGCCCCCGTAACGAAAACTGATAGGCGGTAGGTCCCCAGCAGCACTCGAGGAAACAAGCGATCCGCCAGTTCGACGGAGCCGGCGCGGCGCGGCGCGTCGCGTCGCGGAGCGGTTCGGCGCGCAACGACGCTAGACGACGCGCGACGACGACGCGGTTCGACGTTCGTCGGTGGCCGACGCGCACAAAACAGTTTGCATTCAGCGAAACCGAAAACTACTAGAAAACGGCGAACAACGAACCCTCGTCGAGAGCCGGGAAAGGCTTGCTGACAATGCGCGCGTCGAATGTCGCCGCGGGGTGTCCACACTTGTACGGGCTGGGAGCATTCATCGCGACGTCGGATACGGGGCTCGTTCGCTCCGCGGATTTTACACGGAGAGTCGCGTGTAGTCTATTGCCTAATTACACCATAATACTGTACGCGGGAGCGGCGAAAGACCGCGAAGAGGGTGGCAGAGAGAGAGAGAGAGAGAGAGAGAGAGAGAGAGGGATCGCGCCGAGAGAACAGCGTCGCTTGCTCCGCCGCTCGGTACCGAGAGAAACGGTGAAACGCAGACAACAGAATTCAACGTATCGTTCAATCACATTCATCTCCAATATAGCGCGCGTATACGGGCCGCATTGTGCCACTTAAGCTGTATTATAGGGTACGCGCGTGCAATCTGCATCCTCGCACACCCGTGTATTCGCGCGCGCCGCTGATACCGACTATTAAGCGGGAAGACAACCGGCGGAGGGGTTCCTTTCGGAACCAAGGGGACGCGCCGGGACGCGTATTTAACGTCGCGAGGTTAATTTCTGAAAACCGATTAACCAGCATCCGCCGGGGATACGCGCCTCTTTCGCGCCCGCTACTAACGAGCCTGTCGCTACCTTGTCACCGCCGCGAGCCTCTTTACAATTTTGCCTCGTGCAAACGGTGTCGCGAGCTTTGTCCCTCGATTGCCTTACAAATTGAAAGCCCGAAACAAAATTGCTTTCGGGTTTTAAACCGAGGCTTTGCACCGTTCGGTACCGACCGGCCGATCGCGACAAGGCACGACGCACCTCTTTCGATAATTGTTCTAAATACGGCGAGTCTGCGAGCTCTTCAGAAAATTCTACGCGCGTTCGTTACGTTCTCGCAGGCGCTCGAATATTGTACGATGGAAAAAACTGCCGAGGTTTTACAGTAATGTCTCTCCAATTGACGCTCAGATTGTCCACATAAATGGAGAATTCCAGCCTTGCGGTTCGTTTTTATAGTCACGAATTGTCGACAACTATTGAATCGAGCTGCAAGGCTCGAATAATCGTATCTCCTCTTCCCAAATTGTCCATTTTTCTGCAGAATCTTGAGCGTCAGTTAGGAGACACTACTGTACAACAATTTGACAAACTAGAGGACTTGGCGCGTACCGATAACCTCCGCCGAAACTGCCTCCCCGTTTCTGTTACCAAAATCCATCGTGGATAATTCAACATTCGGTCGCTCCGTTTCTTTTTCTCCGATGGAGACGCTATTCTCGAAGAGTTTGTCCCGGCGCAACCCCATCGTCGAAAGCGTCCAGCGACGACGAACGCGCTCGAGCACCGACGAATCGAGAGATTCGTGCAAACTTCGCGACAAGTCGTTCGTGTTTTACTTAGGGCGCGAAAAGTTGGTGCCGCCTGGATGGCAGGAGGTGCCAGGGCGGCCACGTGACTACGTACCAAAAGCTGCCGTCGGCCGACGCTGCCCTCGGGATCGGCTTTGCTGATGAACCAGCACGAGGTGGAATCCCTGAACAACGTGGTACCGCCGATCACACCGCGTACTTTGTTCACAGTTTTCACGAATCGACGGGACGAGACGCCGAAGGTACTCGATCGGAGAACCAGTCACTCGCGTGTCCAAGCACTAAACTCCGGCGAACGACGCGCGACGGTCGTGAGCGAGGTCAACGACGCAGGTCAATGTCATTTACCGTAGAAACCGATTTCGCGAGCTCGATCGTTCGCGACGAATTGTTCGCGCGGGGTCGGTCGAGGCTTCGCGGGGATGCGGCCGACGAGCACACTTTCTTTCGTCACCGATGATGGAATAACTAGCGAACAGAACTAGTTTCGTCGCGGCAAATCGTGCGGTTTTGGGAACGCCGATCGGGTAATTGCTCGCAACAATTTTACGCTGCCCGGGAGATTGTTTCGAGCAACTGTAAGCCGGGGGTGGCTTGTACGATCCGCACGAGCGCAGCACACGTGCTGCTCTGCAGCGTGATTCTTCTGCTTTCTTGGCTCTCGAGAGTAGCCGTGGTAGGAGAGAAAAAGAGAGAGAGAGAGCGAGAAGAGAGAGAGAGAGAGAGAGAGAGAGAGAGAGTTGAAGCGACGAGGAGCGAGGCGAAGTTAAGGGCGAGCGAGAGGGCTAAAATCGACGAAGAGACGAAGAGACGAGGAGACGAGAGAAAAGCGGGCAAAAGCGGGCACTAGCGGGCACTCCTGGCCGTGGAAATATTATTAGGTAAAGCACACGCACGGACTGGCACGCACCGACTTGCGGACTCTCGTTGGGTCGTGCTTGCGACCCCGCGATTCGTGTTGGTACCTCGAGGTACGTCGGACCAATGGGCGGAGGGCACCGTTACCACCACCACCCTTGCGAGCCGCGGTCGGTGGGGATGCTGGCTCCGCTTCGTGACATCATCGATTCTGAATGGTGGAAATGCTCAACCGTGCGGAAGGCTCATCGGAGGGCGCGTGTTGCACTGTCGCCACGCATGCGCCGAGTCCACCAGATCCCCAACACCGGACCCGCTCGACACAGAAAAAGGGACGTGCGATAACTTCGCGCCAGATGGAGACCGACTGCTTGCGCGGTAAGGTGTCTGCTCCTAATTTTGCTCTCTTCGATTATTTCGAATTCTACTTTCATTTTCATTTCTAGTTTTATTTTTATTTTTATCTTTATTTTTATTTTTATCTTTCATTCCGAACCAGCTGTCGCGAGAATAATTGGCTCCCTTGGGAATCTTGCTTCGCATCAATTTTCTAGGAAAGTTTAATCATCTTTTACATTACTTGTACCAGCTTGCCTACCCACAGTGGCTCGAGGAAGTCTCCACTAAATTTCCAATTTTCGACGAGTCATCGATACTTGCATATGTATGTGTGGAAATAATTTTTAACTGGGTTTTGAAATTCGTTTCTGTTGTAATATGTTAAACAAATCGAATAGGATTTTTAGGATTTTTAGAATATGGAAAATTTCAACTTTCTAACTTCGGTTTTAGTAAGCCATTGCATTATAAAAATTTGAAATATATTCTACCAAATATGAATGTTATTTATTTCGTCTGAATCGAAAAGAAACTTTGTTTTGGCTGTTATCAAAATTCAAGAGTGAAAGTAAACGTGGTCATACATGAAGCAAATCGCTAATCACCCATCTGGTGGTTGATGCGACTTTAAACGCCGAATAAAAAGAAAAAGGAAGAAGCAAAATTAGCCTCGTTCTATCGAACAGATTATTAAGGACGAAGAAATGCTTGATCAACGTAGCTGTGAAAGAAATTGTAGTGTAAAAGATTAATTAAATGACTTTGATATTATTACTTGATATATTATTATTTTTTTATTATTATTTGATTATTATTATTATTATTATTATTATTTAATTTATTAGTATTTGATATATTATTTGGAGGGGAAGGGGAGGAAATCTCCAGCATTTAACGCGTTAACACTCGACCGAGCCGATTAAAATGATCGGTTCCGCACATTTTGTTTCAAAATTGTTGAAATTATAAAGACTCTTTCGCAGAAAATAATTGAATAAGTATAGTTATCGTAATAAAAATGACGAATTCTCTAAATAATGTTCAGTCTTGACATTCGTATATAGTATCACGCGTTAGGCATTTCGTTTGGAAATTTGAAAACCACCATTTCCACAGTTCATCGTTTATAAAAACAGATTGGAAAATGCTGCAATTTGAAACGTCTCCAAAAACAATCGAAAATATCGTACACCGGCGAATCTACCATAGATTTGAAGATTGTATCTGCACTTACGTAACGACTCCCAAAAACGTGACGTATAATTCATTTTTCGTCGTCCATGAAATAGAAACAAGGAGCAAGTTATGCAAAGCCCTCGCGTGCCTTGTTTACTGTAAAGTACATCTTTCGTTCCAAGCTCTCGACAGATTGACTAAAATTATCGAACAGCGGAGTTTAAGGGGTCGTTATAAAGGGGAGCCTTCGATCTTCGAATCTATATTAGAATTATCGACGAAAAAAATTCTCCAACGTATTTACAGACATTTCAATTCGCAACATTGTCAGCAAAGAGCAGTTTCCCGCCTGTTATTATTATGAAAACATGTTGCATCCCTGGTAGGACTCTCAGACTTCAATGAACTTTATTTTATTAGTTTAAAAAGAGTTTAAAAAGTCTAGTTATCGATTGTATTTTTATTTGCAACGACCGAATTCCTAGACCACCGTATTCCTCTCTTGCGCGCTAGACACGTTTGCAAGCCGGGCTCTAGACAAAGAGCGAAGCTGTGATACTTTGAGTAGACAGTCTCGAAGATGGCCATTTCCGAAAATTTAACGACACGCGTAAACTATAATTTCCTTCGGTCCGTTTTGTAAACGGGGAATCTTGAAAGACGGTATCGAGTCTCGCGTGGATCGGTCCTGGATCGATCGTGGATCGGTCGTGGGTGCTGCGCGCTCGAAAGCACGGGACACGGGGTGAGTCACCCTCTCTTTTTCTGTGTCGGGCCCTCGCGAGTTTGCCCGCGACGTAGGAGGGGGATAGGAATAACTGCATCAACCCCTGTTCGGTAGTGCGAACGTTTAGGCCCTCTCGCTCCCTCGCGAAGAAACAAGCTCGTTTCACACGAAATACCCCCGCGCGGACAGACCAAGAAGTCATTTTACGGAACGGAAAATTCAGCCGGCTGGCCCCGGGAGAGCGTGTTTTCGTCGAAGCACCACTTACGGCCGGTACTTTGACCCGAAAGTATGCTATTACCCGCGAAACTGTGCCATGAAAACCGTTGCCGCAATCGTTAACAAGCTAACAGCCGTCGGTTCGCTGCTCGCGCGTGAATTAGACCAAACAGAGCCAAATGGCCCGCGCGAAGGTCAAGTGTGCCGGCTTTTTTTTCCAAGTTTATTCAAGGTGTTTGCTCGCGATCGGTCACCGATAGCACGTGGCTCGAGATTCCCGTCGTCGTAGCGCAAAACTTTCGAAGCTGTTCTCTTCTGAAACGTGCCACGCTCGAACAGTCCGAGCGTCGCTGTTGTTTGCTCGAGAAGTCGGATCGGTAATTTTCGATTTTGCTTGTTAGCTGCCGCCGAAATGGAAATTTGCTAAATTCGAAATTCCGGTGTACATCGTAGTCGTATAGGTAATCGCGACGCCTGATTCCCCTACGAAACGTTCGTAGTCCCGTTTAGGCAGCTTTCGGCCAGTTCAGGACATATTCGAGGATCCTGTAAGCTGCGAGTCACGATGTGAACCCAGCTTTAGGAGATCCACGCTGTGGAAGTAACGCGTTTCGATTTTGCGTTAGCTCAGCTACGCGTGAATCCAGCCAAGGTCAAGTCGTTCCCCGTTTCCGAGCATCCCTCCAACGCTCAGCTAAGATCGATTCTAACGAATTTCATATCTGGGGTGGATCTGCATAAAGCCAGGATAATATTTCGGTTAGCAGTGATTAGCGACGGTTTACTCGTTCACCGATTACGAGGACCGAGCATAAACAGCGGATGAAATTTCGAAATCCTCGATTAGACATCTATTTAATAGCTACGCGAAAGACGACCGTACGTTTTTAGAAATATCTCCGGCAGCTGCTGATAATTTGCAAGAAGCCGTGGAGCAATTTTTTGTTTCGATTACGTTCATCTTTAACCCTTTGCCCTCGAGTGGTGAGTCTGAGGCACCACTAAGATTATTGTATCACGTTCTAATATCGCTTTTATATCTCATCGAAGTTTAGATTGTAAATATTATTAAAAGCATAACTGTTCTATAAATCAGGAGACTCAATTTCGTATGCATAAAAAAGCAACTTTGTCATATAAAATGGAATTACTGCAAGCCAGAAAAATTATTTTAGATTTACTATTAAAATGGCTTCCAGTGCAAAGGGTTAAAAACTTTAAGACCAATCGCGTAATCGATATTTGTTACAGGTGAAGAAGCGACTATCAATTTGAATGTCGCGTGTCCTTACGATTTAATACTTCAAAACAATTTATTATTGTATTTCAATTACACCTCGGGGCGGGGAGGGAAGGGGGTGTCCTCCTCGAGGTTTAAAGTGCCGAAAATTTGTCTAGGTTAAATTTGTCACGCATTCCGCGTCCAAAACTCTTCGATTACGGACACAGGTAACGTACTTACGATCTAATCTCGTTTAGGGTAGGGTCTAAATAGGATAAACTTTGTCGAGGGGTGCGCTAGGAAATCTCGGATAAAACGTTAATTAGCCCCGAGCAAATGATCACGAGTCGCGCACGACGTCGCTCTATCGTTTCTTATCTCTGTCGCGTTTGCCAATAACAAACATTTCGATCTTACAGTTTGTTTGAACACGTGGAATCGTTCGCCGCGAACGGAATCGATTTTGAAAATTACACGGACTCGGCGAAACTACAGTTTCGCCTCGTTGCGAGTCGAACTACGCGCAGACTTTCGCGCCTCGAACCAATGTCCGTCGTCCCCGTAAGGCGTAAGGCGTAAGGCATAAGGCACAAGGTAACGCGTAGAGTACAGGGAGAGACACAGGGAGGACAGGTGAAAGCCAGTCTCTGCCTGGAGGGGGAAGGGGGAGAGTCGAAAGTGATCCGAAGGAGCAAAAGAGGACGTGGAAGGGTAAAACAAACAAATTAACGTCAGAGTCGCTTGTTTATTGTTGGGTGGGGAAACGGTAACCACGCCTTTGTCAAGCACGCCCTCCGAGCGTGATATTCCCCTTTTTGCCCCACTACCATCAACGCCCCTGACTCACTCTCTGCCTCTCTGCTCCCCACTATCGTTCGAACGCCACCGGTGGTGGAAATGACGTCAGTCCGCGGCAAGATGCAACAGGCTGCTACGGAGGCCGAAACCGTGGACGTTGAGCGAACGCCAGCGAGATATCCGATAATTCCATGAGTAACGATGTTTTCCCGCGAGCTCCTTAATCGACGAGCTTGATACTTTCCTACGAAAACCGCGCGAACTCCGCGGCGGTTCCGCGAATAATCCTCTCTTCCTCGATGATAAATTATCCGCACGCACCTGTCGCGCGAACCTTTCGCATCGGCATCAATTTTTCTCGCGCGTTTCAGCTAAAAAATCGTCGAACTTCGCGCGTCGAGCTTAAATTCGGAAATGCCGCAGCAAACGCGGAGCCTGTCGAACGGTGTTTAATCTTTTAGGTACGACTGAATTCTGCGCGAGGCTATTTCTCTGAACGGCAGAGTCTGATATGTACTGTACAGAGTGTCTATATATTCTGTCTGTATATTGTTAAGATACAGTTATATTGTTAACAATTATATTGTTAAGATAAGTCTGTATATTGTAAATCGATATGAAGACAAAAGAAGTGTGAAACAATGCATGTGAAGA